GTGAGCGATGGCGACGGTTCGTGGGCGGAGGCCTTCATTCAGCAGTGGATAGATCGAGGCTCGTGATGATGACCACGATGATGATGATGATGTTGTTTTTATGACTGGACCTGCACCTGGTTATGGATGACGGTGGTGGTGATGATGGTTGATGCCAGTGTTGGCAAAAGATCCAGCCTTGGCACATGGGATTAGACCAGGGGTCGGCAACCTACGGCTCCGGAGCCGCATGCGACTCTTTACGGGCTGCTTCTTGACGATGAGTACGATGTACTCAGATGCATTGCGGCTCTTGAAATACTGAATTTTGTACCGAATTGGAAAGAAATGGCTCTTCTTGTTATTTTGGTTGCCGATCCCTGGATTAGACGAATCGCTACACTGATCGCTTCATTCGAGTAATTGCAGGCGATTGTGCCCCCGAGTGTGAAAAAACAGGACCCGCCGCTAATCGCGAGTGATATTTCGCAACGCGTTTTTTCAGGTGAGATATATACAGTGGCTCGTAAATCTTAACAAATTTACAGACTTTAAAAAAATAAAAATAGGTTTTAATTATAATTGTTTTGGTCTTTCGTTAAAGTCACGATGATAGGTTAAAAGAAAATAACAAAATAACAAAAAACTACGACGTTTCGATCGCAACACAAGCGGTCATCATCAAGAAAATGGGGTTAGCCTCTAAAGTCAAACTGTTTATAAAGGTTTAAAATGGCCGTAGCCCAAGTGTCAGCAGCATGGGCGAGGCAGCCGATTTTAATGTGAGTGGTGGGTAGCGACCACGACGGTGGTGGGTTTTCCACCAATCAGAGGGCTGCCAGGTAAAAAATTTGCATGTCAATGTAAGATCGGCGAGCGAGCCAAGGTGGCTATGACACTGGTGTTGAGACTAGGCCTTAAAGAAGCCTGCTGTCTCTGGTGTAGGCCAATCAGCTTCAAAGACAATGCATCACAGATGTTGTCAGAGCATGTTTCGTTTGAATGTGTGTGGTTAATGCAGTGACTTTATTCCTTGCAAAAGATTTCTATTTGGTTCTAGATTTGAAGCTTTCGTGACTGCAAGGATTCATATTCTTAGGTTTTTTTCGGTAAAGTCACGTAGGTAAAAATTTTTAATACAAATTAATAAAAGTAAAATAGAAAGAAAATAAAAATCACGACGTTTCGGAGGCAACACAAGCTTCCGTCTTCAGGTGGAACCGTCACAGCACGATTGCTGTATCAAGTAAGATAAATTCCAAGAAAAACCGTCCTTGTTCAAGAATATGAATCCTTGCAGTCACGAAAGCTTCACATCTAGAATGAAGAGCACGTTGTGTTTGCATGTTCACCACAAGCACCGCGTGTGTGGTGAATGCAGTGACTCGATTCCTTGCAAAAGGTTTCTGTTTGGCGTTTGAACATCTTATCGCAGCTCCTGTTTTATCGCCACGAAGGGTCAAACCCCTTCTTGTTGTAGCGTACTTTGATATTGGCACATTGACATGCTAATTTGAAATTTCTCTAACCCCTCCCTCTCTCCCAGCCCCCGCCCCCCTTTCTCTATTTAAGGCTTCGACACAGAGGCGTAGTTTCTCTTTGTGCCTATGTACGTCTCTCTCTCTATGTATCTCTGTAATATCTCTCTACTTATATGTCTGTCTATGTCTCTGGTTCTGTCTTTGATCTCTCTCTCTCAAATTTAGCATTCTCAGGAAGAACGTAATCAACCAGGCAGGGTGTTGACTGTTATGTTATCCGACTCTCTGTTGTATTACATTACATTTCTAAGTATACTAGATTTGTGTTTCTATTTAATTCATACCTGATGATGATTGCTTGTGTTGCAATCGAAACGTCGTATGCTAGTATTTAATTTAATTTATTATTTTATCTTTATACGTGACTTTACCGAAAGAACCAAAGAATAATACCTGCAGTCACGAAACCTCCAAATTAAGTTATTTACAGACGTGTGTCAATCCCCTTGCTGGATGAAGGCCCCCTATGTTGCCGTGTTAGTCATGGGGGTGAGGGGGTGGGGATTGACCATACTTCACCAATCTGGTCGGAGGCAGGTTGGTGGAGGAAGGTGGGAAAGGATTGGGGAAAGATATTAGCCGTGACTGCGAATTGAGCTCAGTTCGCCTCAACAACAACAACCACAACAACAACAACAACAACCACAACAACAACAACAACAACCACAACAACAACAACAACAACCACAACAACAACAACAACAACAACAACAACAACAACAACCACAACAACAACAACAACAACCACAACAACAACAACAACCACAACAACAACCACAACAACAACAACCCCCAAGTGCGTGCACTCACCTCCTGCTACCCCCCCAAAAAGGCAAATACAAAGATCCCCCATGTAGCTCGCACAGACTGTTGGGACAAGTGCCGTGAGATAGTAACCCGGGAAGGGAAGCTCTAGCGTGGTGGACACCCGTGAGCCGAGTTCAGTTCACAACCGCGGTTGACATCAGTGGAGATTGATATCTGAATCGGGCCCGGATTTACCCTAGGTCGACTCAGCCACAAGTGAGTACCCGACAGAGTCCGTAAAGCATCGGCGCTCGGGAGACCAACGGCGTGTTGGTGATCGTACGCCGTGCTGGTCTTCATCGGTGCTCATTAACAGCACTTGCCCCAACAGCCTATGTAGGCTACCTACACGACGGACCCTTTGTCTTTGTGCGTTCACCTGCCTCAGCCACCAAAGACAAAGATCCCGCGTGTAGCCTTCACAGACTGTTGGGGCAAGTGCTGTCAGCGAGCAGCGCCTATGAAGGCCGGCACGGGGCACGAGGGGGTGGGTGGCCAGCACCACGCCCGGCCGCCTTTGTCGCCCCAGTGACGATGTTTACACACCGCACCAGGTATTCATTTGAGGCTGAGTCGACCTAGGGGAGGTCCAGGACCGGCTCAGACAATCGTCACTGGTGTTGGACGTGAGAGGGAATCGCAAACTCGGTTCGCCGGGTGTCATAGCGCAGCGGCGCGAACCGCTACACCAAAGACAAAGGTCCCCAGTATAGCCTTTAACAGACTGTTGGGGCAAGTGCTGTTAGCGAGCACCTATGAAGGCCGATACGGCACACGGGGGGGTGGGTGGCCAGCACCACGCCCGGCCGCACGTCTCCCCAAGTGGCGATGCTTACACACCGCACCAGGTACTATTTGTTTTAGGCTGAGTCGACCCAGGGGATGCCCAGGACCGGTCATAGACATATAATCGTCAACGGCGTTGGCCGTGAGCGGGAATCGCGAGCTCGGTTCGCCGGGTGTGGTAGCGCGGCGGCGCTAAGCGCTGTCGCACTGCCGCTCACCAACACCAACACCAGGCCCATCTTTAGATTTAAAGCTTTCGTGACTGCAGGGATTCATCTTTTTGGATCTTTCGGTAAAGTCACGTAGAAGGGAAATAATTAAATAATAAAAAGAAAACATAATAAAATAAAAATAATAATAAAATTTATTAAATCATTATTTTATTATGTTTTCTATTTTTTTCTTTTATTATTTCCCTTCTACGTGACTTTACCGAAAGAACCAAGAAGATTATTTTATTATGTTTTATTTTTATTATTTTATTATTTCCCTTCTACGTGACTTTACCGAAAGAACCAAGAAGATTATTATATTATGTTTTATTTTTATTGTTTTATTATTTCCCTTCTACGTGACTTTACCGAAATAACCAAGAAGATTATTTTATAATGTTTTATTTTTATTTTTTTATTATTTCCCTTCTACGTGACTTTACCGAAATAACCAAGAAGATGATTTTATTATGTTTTATTTTTATTATTTTATTATTTCCCTTCTACGTGACTTCACCGAAAGAACCAAAAGATGAACCCGGCCATTCGCCACGAAGTGACGGTGACGCCACCACGACACCTGTGCCAGGCCAGGTGCACTCTGAGGCTGCCACGTGAAGGGCCGAAGGCTCGCTGACAGAAGGTCTCGGGACAGACGCAGCAGGTGCCACGGGTTGGCTGACTGAGATGACCGGTAGATGCGCCACCAGCAGCTGTACCCCCTACAGTACCAACATGGTGCACATTCGCCACCTCTGCACCTATGCCTCGGCAAGGTAAAAGTGTAAAAACAACGAGCCTACCTTTACCCTACCTTTTACCTTACCACAATATAATCATCTTCTTGGTTCTTTCGGTAAAGTCACGTAGAAGGGAAGTAATAAAATAATAAAAATAAAACATAATAAAACAATTCTCACGACGTTTCGGCCACAACGCAAGCAGCCGTCCTCAGGTGAAAACCAGGTCCGTCGAGGCGACAGAGTCTGAATGAAACAGCACACGGGCTTGGAGCATATATATAAGCTGGGCGCATTGACAAAGGAATTTGCATATCAACAGGAATTTAGCATATTTATGGGAAATGCAGGAATGTGATTAGTACTGCATATGCATGTGCATTATGCAGGATTAACAGCATCAAAGGGAGCTGCAGTTACTGCTACCTTTAGCAGTCAAGGTAAAAAGTAAAAAGCAACGAGCCTATCTTTTACCCTACCACAATACAATCACTCTACCCTACCCTTTACCCTTACCCCTTGGCATGTCGACACCTTTACTCTTTTACCCGGTAAAAAGGGTACAATTACCTTACCTTGCCGAGGCCTACCTGCACCACCAAAAAAGATCCCCCGTATAGCCTTAACAGACTGTAGGGGCAAGTGCTGTTAGCGAGCACCTATGAAGGCCGGAACGGTACACGAGGGGGTGGGTGGCCAGCACCACGTTGGCCACCCACCCGATGTTTACACACCGCACCAGGTACTCATTTGAGGCTGAGTCGACCTAGGGGAGGCCCAGGACCGGTTCAGATAATCGTCACCGGTGTTTGCCGTGAGCGGGAATCGAACTCGGGTGGCCAGGTCCGTAGTGCAGCGCGCTAACCACTACACTACCGCTCCCCACACCACCACCACCACCAACATCAACAACGCTCGCTCGCTCGCTCGCTCACCCACATCTGCCGAGCAGAACGCCTGCTGGGGGTGCATGCTGGAGGCACAGGAGCAGCCGTCCACCCCGGGCCGACCCGTGGGCCCCACCGCCAGTACCAAGGACAGCGCCAGGGCCAACACTCGGCACCGCAACAACGCGGCCCGAGGCCACGCGGGGTCAGAGGTCGCAGGCATCTCGTGGGGTGGGGGTGGTCAGGTCGTATGGGAGCTGGAGAGAGGAGAGATGAGACAGAGGAGGTACGGGGTGAGTTCAACGCGGAGCAGTCGTGAGGCTTTCGAGACCGATTTCATCCACAGTCGAGGTTTTTGTTGGGTTAGATCGCGCAAATGTGAATGTTGTCGTTAAATCCGCCACCGGCCGGCACGTTCGACTAGTGAGGTTTGTCACGTGAACAAAGCGTGGCAATTCGTTACTAGTTGAGCATGACGGTTGTGTGTTGAAGATTAAAACCCCACGACATTTACAATTCGTTACTAGTTGAGCATGACGGTTGTATGTTGGAAAGTAAACCCCACGACAATTACAATTCGTTACTCGTTGAGCATGACGGTTGTGTGGTGGAAAATAAAAACCCACGACATTTACAATTCGTTACTCGTTGAGCATGACGGTTGTGTGTTGGAGATTAAAACCTCACGACATTTACAATTCGTTACTAGTTGAGAACACCGGTTGTGTCGGAGAGTAAAAACCCACGACGTTTACAATTCGTTACCAGCATCATCAGGCGATAGCCAGAATTGTGGTCTTAAATCGAGGTGGGGGTAAATGTGACGTCGTCACTGGTGAGTCAATCAGGTGCGAAGACCACGGGGGGGTGGGGGGTGGGTGGTGGGGGGGGGTGGGGGGTGGGGTGGGGGGTGGGGGGTGGGGGGTGGGGGGGAAGTGGTTAACGTAGTCACGGAGTAGTAGACGGAGTGAATCAGTCACGTAACGAGCGTGGGGGGCAGGGGGGTGCCTTGCCCCCCCCCACCCACCGTGGCCAAAGCTACGAGTTGGGGCTCCCTCGTTGACAACCACCATGCGATTTGTTTTCAACAACGGTGTAAAAATTGTTTTATTAAACAAGGTGAATTTTTTATTTATTATTATTTTTAAATATGAGAATGATTTCGTTTACGGTTCCACGTTTGAATTTCATTGGGGCAGTAACTTTTGGCTTCAGCAAAATCGCGCAAAGCAAATATTGGACCCCCCACCCGACCCAAATGCCACACCTACCTGAGCTGATAATTTAGCTACAAGGCGACTCATGGGGTAGAATATTTTTTAAAAAAATCGTGGGCCGATGCATGCGTCTCCTTCATGAATGAAGATCTCAAGGCACGAGCCACAGTGTTACGACTGTGACCCATGCGATCATTTAATAAACCATCAGAGACACCTAGGGAAACATGAATACTCATAGAGATGCACAGAGACTCGTACAGATGAGTTAAAGCCAGGGTCGTGCGACTGTGGCCATGCAAACAACAGACCGCCGAGTAAACCCGCTGTGGCCTGCCTTTCTTCAGGAGGAACAGCGACACGACACGAACTCTCTCTCTCTTGCTGAAGCCCTCTTCGTAGTGACCAGCAACAGCAGCAGCCCTCAACACTGGCAATCTAGATCCTGGACATATTGGCCATCGTGAGAATAAACGCCCGAATGTAGGAGGTGGTGATTCAAGACTTCCCGACAGAGAACAAGATACAGACACGTTGATCAAAGTGCAAATGTCCAAAACTTGGGAGACATCGTCCGGAGCAAGGATAACATTTTTTGACATACACACAGACACCCACAGAAACAGACGGACACGCAAGATGATATACAAAACATAACATTGAGATACGTATTCAGATACACGTTCATATGCTGACGCACACAGATCCGCTGTATCGCCTAAATTTAACAGACTGTTGGGGCAAGTGCTGTTATAGAGTGGCATCAATGATGGCCAGAACGGCACGGGGGGGGGGGGGGGGGGTCGGTGGCCAGCACCACACCCAGTCACCTTTGTATCCCCAGTGGCGATGTTTACACACCGCACCGGGAGGCTAAGTCGACCTAGGGGACGCGTAGGACCGGTTCATATAATCGTCACTGGTGGTGTTGGTGGCCGTGAGCGGGAATCAAACTCGGGGCAGCTGGGTTCGTAGCGCAGCGTAGCGCTAACCGCTGCACCACCGCTCCCCACATGAATACAGACACACACACTCTCTCGAGCACAGGCACACGGATGCTAGGACACGCACACACAGACACGGACGCTTTGACACACGCGCAAACATACGCACAACAACACGCACACACACACACGTGATGACACACACAAACAATTACAAAGACCCCCGCGTGTAGCCTCCACAGACTGTTGGGGCAAGTGCTGTTAGCAAGCACCTATGAAGGCCGGTACGGCACTCGAGGCGGTGGGTGGCCTGCACCACGCCCGGCCGCCTTTGTCTCCCCAGTGGCGATTTTTTTCCACATCGCACCAGGTACTCATTTGAGGCTGAGTCGACCTAGGGGAGGCCCAGGACCGGTTCAGATAATTAATCGTCACTGGTGTATGCCGCTACACTACAGCACCCCACACTATTACAGACACACACACTCGCACAGAGGCACGCAAATACTATGACATGCACACACACAGGGATGCTTTGAACACACACACACATACACACAATAACAAAGACAAAGATCCCCCCTATAGCCTTTACAGACTGCTAGGGCCAAGTGCTGCTAGCGAGTAGCCCCGATAAAGGCCGGCACTGCACACACGGTGGTGACCAGCACCACGCCCGGCCGCCTTTGTCTCCCTAGTGGCGACACGCACGCAGACACACACACAGACGTTGTGACACACACACACAATGACACAAATGCACACACACACGCACACGCCCGCACGTACCAGCCCAAGCGAGTCACAAATTGTCGCTCTGGTGCTGAGATGTCGTGCCAGTCGCGACGCTGAGATGGTTTTGCTCGGGGGCTTCTCAACCGTCTCGCCTGTGTTTATATCCCGAGATCACACCTCCTACTCCTCCTCCTCCTTCTCTTCTCTCCCTCCCTCGCCTCCCTCCTTCTCCCCCATAGCCACGCTCGAACCCTGCAGCATGCAGCCAATGGCGTGGCCCTGCAGGAAGCGGCGAATGGAGAGAGGGTTGTGCGTGTGTGTGGTGTGTGTGGTGTGTGTGGGGTGTGTGTGGGGGTGTGTGGGGTGTGTGGGGGTGTGTGTTGTGTGTGTGTGTGGTGTGTGTGTGGTGTGTGTGTGTGGTGTGCGTGTGGTGTGCGTGTGGTGTGCGTGTGGTGGTGTGTGTGGTGTGTGTAGTGTGGTGTGTGGTGTGTATGTGGTGTGTGTGTGGGGTGTGTGTGGCGTGTGTGGTGTGTGTGGTGGGTGTGGTGTGTGTGTTTGGTGTGTGTGGGGTGTGTGTGGTGTGTGTGGTGTGGTGTGTATGTGTGTGGTGTGTGTGTGGTGTGTGTGGTGTGTGTGTGGTGTGTGTGGTTTGTGTGGTTTGTGTGGTGTGTGTGGTGTGTGTGTGGTGTGTGGTTTGTGTGGTGTGTGTGGTGTGTGTGGTGTCTATGGTGGGTGTGGTGTGTGTGTGTGGTGTGTGTGTGGTGTGTGTGTGGTGTGCGTGTGTTGTGTGTGGTGTGTGTGTGTGTTGTGTGTGGTGTGTGTGTGGTGTGTGTGTTGTGTGTGTGGTGTGTGTGGTGTGTGTGTGGTGTGTGTGTGTGTGGTGTGTGTGTGTGGGGTGTATGGTGTGTGTGTTTGATGTGTGTGTGGTGTGTATGTGGGGTGTGTGTGTGGATGTGTGTGTGTGGTGTGTGTGGTGTGTGTGTGGTGTGTGTGGTGTGTGTGGCGTGTGTCTGTGGTGTGTGTGGCGTGTGTGGTTTGTGTGTGTGGTGTGTATGTGGTGTGTGTGTGGTGTATGATGTGTGTGTGTGTGGTGTATGTGGTGTGTGTGTGGTTTGTGTGGTGTGTGTGTGGTGTGTGTGTGGTGTGTGTGTGGTGTGTGTGTGGTGTGCGTGGTGTGTGTGCGTGGTGTGTGTGTGTGGTGTGTGTGTGGTGTGTGTGGTGTATGTGGTGTGTATGTGGTGTGTGTGTGGTTTGTGTGGTGTGTGTGTGGTGTGTGTGGTGTGTGTGTGGTGTGTGTGTGTGGTGTGCGTGGTGTGTGTGCGTGGTGTGTGTGTGTGGTGTGTGTGTGGTGTGTGTGGTGTATGTGCTGTGTGGTGTGTGTGTGGTGTGTGTGGCTTGTGGTGTGCGCGTGGTGTGTGTGGTGTGTGTGTGTGGTGTATGTGGTGTGTGGTGTGTGGTGTCTGTGGTGTATGTGTGTGGTGTGTGTGTGGTGTGTGTGTGTGTGGTGTGTGTGGTTTGTGGTGTGTGTGTGTGGAGTGTGTGGTGTGTGTGCGTAGTTGTTAGGAGGCGTTAGTGCAGTGGTTATTAGCGCTACGCTGCGCTACGGACCCGGTGACCAGAGATCGATTCCCGCTCACCGCCACCACCACCGGTGACGATTATCTGTAACGGTCCTGGACCTCCGCTAGGTCGACTCAGCCTCAAATGAGTACCTGCTGCGATGTGAAAACATCGCCACCAGGGGAGACAAAGGCGGTCGGGCGTGGGGTGCTGGCCACCTCCACCTGGTGTGCCATGCCGGCCTACACAGCGCTACTCGCTCTCAGCACTTGCCTCAACAGTCGGTGAAGGCTACACGGGTGACCTTTGACTGGACTGACACAATCAACTCACTACCCTTGAGAACCTCGGTTTCTATCACAACTCAGTCCGTGTGAGTCTATGGGTCTTTGTGTGAGTCTACGGGTCTCTGTGTGAGTCTACGGGTCTCTGGGTGACTTTATGGGTCTCTGTGTGATTCTACGGGTCTCTGTGTGAGACTACGGGTCTCTATGTGAGTCTACGGGTCTTTATATGAGAGTCTATGGGTCTCTGTGTGAGTCTACGGGTATCTGTGTGAGTCTACGGGTCTCTATATGAGTCTACGGGTCTTTATGTGAGTCTATGGGTCTCTGTGTGAGTCTACAGGTCTCTGTGTGAGTCTACGGGTCTCTATGTGAGTCTATGGGTCTCTGTGTGAGTCTACGGGTCTCTGTGTGAGTCTACGGGTCTCTGTGTGAGTCTACGAGTCTCTATGTGAGTCTATGGGTCTCTATGTGAGTCTACGGGTCTCTGTGTGAGTATATGGGTTTCTGTGTGAGTTTGTGGGTCTCTGTGTGAGTCTACGGGTCTCTGTGTGAGTCTACGGGTCTCTGTGTGAGTCTACGGGTCTCTGTGTGAGTCTACGGGTCTCTGGATGAGTCTACGGGTCTGTGGGTGAGTCTACGAGTCTCTGTGTGAGTCTACGGGTCTCTGTGTGAGTCTACGGGTCTCTGTGTGAGTCTACGGGTCTCTGTGTGAGTCTACGGGTCTCTGGATGAGTCTACGGGTCTCTGGGTGAGTCTACGGGTTTCTATGTGAGTCTACGGGTCTCTATGTGAGTCTACGGGTCTCTGTGTGAGTCTACGGGTCTCTGTGTGAGTCTACGGGTCTCTGTGTGAGTCTACGGGTCTCTGGGTGAGTCTACGGGTTTCTATGTGAGTCTACGGGTCTCTATGTGAGTCTATGGGTCTCTGTGTGAGTCTACGGGTCTCTGTGTGAGTCTAAGGGTCTCTGTGTGAGTCTATGGGTCTCTGTGTGAGTCTACGGGTCTCTGGGTGAGTCTACGGGTCTCTGGGTGAGTCTATTGGTCTCTGTGTGAGTCTATGTGTCTCTATGTGAGTCTACGGGTCTCTGTGTGAGTCTGTGGGTCTCTGGGTGAGTCTACGGTCTATATGTGAGTTTACAGGTCTCTGTGTGAGTCTATGGGTCTGTGTGTGAGTCTACGGGTCTCTATATGAGTCTACGGGTCTCTGCACGAGTCTACGGGTCTCTGTGTGAGTTTATGGGTCTCTATGTGAGTCTCTATGTGAGTCTACGGGTCTATGCGTGAGTCTACGGGTCTCTGTGTGAGTCATGGGTCTCTGTGTGAGTCTACGGGTCTCTGGATGAGTCTATGGGTCTCTGGGTGAGTCTACGGGTTTCTATGTGAGTCTACGGGTCTCTATGTGAGTCTATGGGTCTCTGTGTGAGTCTACGGGTCTCTGTGTGAGTCTACGGGTCTCTGTGTGAGTCTACGGGTCTCTGTGTGAGTCTATGGGTCTCTGTGGGCGTCTACGGGTCTCTGGATGAGTCTCCGGGTCTCTGGGTGAGTCTACGGGTTTCTATGTGAGTCTACGGGTCTCTATGTAAGTCTATGGGTCTCTGTGTGAGTCTACGGGTCTCTGTGTTAGTCTATGGGTCTCTGTGTGAGTCTAAGGGTCTCTGTGTGAGTCTATGGGTCTCGGTGTGAGTCTACGGGTCTCTGGGTGAGTCTACGGGTCTCTGGGTGAGTCTATTGGTCTCTGTGTGAGTTTATGTGTCTCTATGTGAGTCTACGGGTCTCTGTGTGAGTCTGTGGGTCTCTGGGTGAGTCTACGGTCTATATGTGAGTTTACGGGTCTCTGTGTGAGTCTATGGGTCTGTGTGTGAGTCTACGGGTCTCTATATGAGTCTACGGGTCTCTGCACGAGTCTACGGGTCTCTGTGTGAGTTTATGGGTCTCTATGTGAGTCTGTGGGTCTCTATGTGAGTCTACGGGTCTATGCGTGAGTCTACGGGTCTCTATGTGAGTCTACGGGTCTCTGTGTGAGTCTACGGGTCTCTGTGTGAGTCTATGGGTCTCTGTGTGAGTCTACGGGTCTCTGGATGAGTCTACGGGTCTCTGGGTGAGTCTACGGGTTTCTATGTGAGTCTACGGGTCTCTATGTGAGTCTACGGGTCTCTGTGTGAGTCTACGGGTCTCTGTGTGAGTCTACGGGTCTCTGTGTGAGTCTACGGGTCTCTGGGTGAGTCTACGGGTTTCTATGTGAGTCTACGGGTCTCTATGTGAGTCTATGGGTCTCTGTGTGAGTCTACGGGTCTCTGTGTTAGTCTATGGGTCTCTGTGTGAGTCTATGCGTCTCTGTGTGAGTCTACGGGTCTCTGGGTGAGTCTACGGGTCTCTGGGTGAGTCTATTGGTCTCTGTGTGAGTCTATGTGTCTCTATGTGAGTCTACGGGTCTCTGTGTGAGTCTGTGGGTCTCTGGGTGAGTCTATGGTCTATATGTGAGTTTACAGGTCTCTGTGTGAGTCTATGGGTCTGTGTGTGAGTCTACGGGTCTCTATATGAGTCTACGGGTCTCTGCACGAGTCTACGGGTCTCTGTGTGAGTTTATGGGTCTCTATGTGAGTCTCTATGTGAGTCTACGGGTCTATGCGTGAGTCTACACGGTCTCTGTGTGAGTCATGGGTCTCTGTGTGAGTCTACGGGTCTCTGGATGAGTCTATGGGTCTCTGGGTGAGTCTACGGGTTTCTATGTGAGTCTACGGGTCTCTATGTGAGTCTATGGGTCTCTGTGTGAGTCTACGGGTCTCTGTGTGAGTCTACGGGTCTCTGTGTGAGTCTACGGGTCTCTGTGTGAGTCTATGGGTCTCTGTGGGAGTCTACGGGTCTCTGGATGAGTCTCCGGGTCTCTGGGTGAGTCTACGGGTTTCTATGTGAGTCTACGGGTCTCTATGTAAGTCTATGGGTCTCTGTGTGAGTCTACGGGTCTCTGTGTTAGTCTATGGGTCTCTGTGTGAGTCTAAGGGTCTCTGTGTGAGTCTATGGGTCTCGGTGTGAGTCTACGGGTCTCTGGGTGAGTCTACGGGTCTCTGGGTGAGTCTATTGGTCTCTGTGTGAGTTTATGTGTCTTTATGTGAGTCTACGGGTCTCTGTGTGAGTCTGTGGGTCTCTGGGTGAGTCTACGGTCTATATGTGAGTTTACGGGTCTCTGTGTGAGTCTATGGGTCTGTGTGTGAGTCTACGGGTCTCTATATGAGTCTACGGGTCTCTGCACGAGTCTACGGGTCTCTGTGTGAGTTTATGGGTCTCTATGTGAGTCTGTGGGTCTCTATGTGAGTCTACGGGTCTATGCGTGA